TAACCTTCTGACCCTTGTGTCAGGCTGCCTGGGCCAGATCCCAGCTTGGTTCTTACCACCAGTGGGACCTTGGACAAATCTTAGCACTTCTGTGTTTCTGTTTCCTCATCTGTGAAAGGGGTGCATTTATAGTTCCTATTTCAGAAGTAGTTGTGAGGACCAAATGAGATAATACAGGTAGACCTCTTGGTAAGTAAATGAAAAGTAACTCTTATTATTAACTCAGCAAGTGTGCTTTGCCTAAACTCCAAATAACTTGCAAATTTAACTAGCTACTTCTGTGTATTTGTGTTGTACATGTGTTTGGGAGGCAGTTCATAATAGGACAAATATTTTTGTTATTAGCACTGGTAATATAATCCAAATATAAATATTAAAAAGCAACCATGATAGGTAAAGATCAAGTTTTCTGATTTGTATCTGGTCCTTGATCTGTAGACAAAAGTTAGCATTTTAAGGGTCAGTTAACACTAGAACTCAATTTTATTATTATTATTTTTTTGCGGTACGCGGGCCTCTCACTGTTGTGGCCTCTCCTGTTGTGGAGCACAGGCTCCGGACGCGCAGGCTCAGCAGCCATGGCTCACGGGCCTAGCCGCTCCGTGGCACGTGGGATCTTCCTGGACCGGGGCACGAACCCGTGTCCCCTGCATCGGCAGGAGGACTCTCAACCACTGCGCCACCAGGGAAGCCCTAGAACTCAATTTTTATTAATCATTTTATTTAGTGATGTTTGTTTTCACATACTTAATTTACACTCTTGAATGCAGCCTTCAAGAGGATGTTTATTTTTCAGATCCTTTGCTAGAAATCAAAGATTGGAAAGATATGAGGAAAGAAATTAGAAGAATATGAGGTGGCTTATTTATGGCAGCTGTCTCAAGGATGCCAAGGCCTTGGTAAGAATCTTGAGCCCATAAAATCGAGTGCTCTAATTTGAGCTCCAGATAAAAACCTTATATTCTCTATTCTGTGCCACTTAAAAATCATATTATTTTTACTGTAAGATATAGCACCAGATTGAAGATGTAGAGGAGAAGATTTAAGTAAAACACATACATAGACAGAATTTGGTATTTTTCTTATTCATCCTTACTATTATTCACAATTCAATCGGTATAATTTGAAGAAAATGAAATTCTCTTTTCCTTTTACTTATTGCTAATTTTTAAAGTAGGAAATGAAGGATTTTTCCCAGGCTTGCCCAGCCACCTCACATCATGCAAGAGTAACTTTCTACAGCTCTCTGTGCAAGAAACCATGGCTGTGTCCCACCTTAGCCCCCTGGGAAATGAGCTGTCCAAGGAACTTTATTGCAAGCCCTCATTGTCCAGGGCACTGACTATGTATGTAAATGCATAAGGGATTGGTAGCATGTGTACTACATCCACAGGATTCCCCTTGAAGTTGAATTTCAAAAGGAAACCCGTCACCATTATTTATTTCTCTGTAGCAGCAGCTCCTAATAGCCTAGGGTAATGCAAATTAAAGCATAGAACATTTGGACAGCAGAACTTGGGGATTTCTTATTGTTGACAGGGTATTCATCATGCCATGGGAATCAGACAGTCACCCTGCCAAGTTAGACTTAGAAAGAAAGGCTTTCATAAAAATGTTATGAGCACCAATATAACCATGTATTCAAACACTTTGAATATAATTTACATGTTCTTCTGTAAATTCTATTGTCTTCCCAACATAATCCTCTAAACATCCATATCTACTTATGGAGGTCAGAAGAACATCTTGCTTCCTCAAATATACCTTTTGTCCTGCAAGGTGTTTAATTTGGCTTTGTCTTTTTGAATTTTTAGATTTATATGACAATGGAGATCCAACCAAATTCCTAAAGTCTTATCTTTACCCAATATCTTGACATCTGTTCCAAACCTCAAAAATTATAAATTATACAGCAAAGGTAGGGGGGATATCTATTGGGTTAACCAAAAAGTTCCTTTGGGTTTTTCTGTAAGATGTTATGGAAAAACCCAAACTAACTTTTTGGCCAACCCAGTATTTTTCACTTATCCCTTGATTGCCTTCTTTGGGTTGGTAGATGAAGGGATGCTATAATTTGAGCTATGATCTGGAGGTATATTGAATAAAAACAAAGGTATTCTTACTTAGAACAAGGCATCTATGAAGGACATATCTGGCATTCAAAACCATTTTTATTGAGGCAAGGTACTTTGGTTGCAAGTAACAGAGGCTGCCTTTAGCCAACTTTGTTAGCTTTTGCTAGGGCTATCATAACAAAGTACCATAAACTGGGTGGTCTGGAACAACAGGATATTTATTGTCTTACAGTCCTAGAGGCTAGAAGTCTGAAATCAAGGTGTTAGCAGGGCCCTGCTCCCTCTGAACCTGTAGGGAAAAGATTCTTCCTTGTCTTTTCTAGCTTCAGTTGTTTTGCTGGCAATCTTTGGTGTTCTTTGGCTTGTAGAAGCATCATTTCAATCCTCTGTCTTCACAATGCCATCTTCTCACTGAGCATATTTGTCTGTGTCTAACTTTCCCTTTTTGAAAGGATTTCAGTCATGTTGGATTAAGGCCCACCCTAATGGCCTCATTTTAATTTTATTACCTCTCTAAAGATCCTATTTCCAAATAAGGCCGTATTCCAAGGCACTGAGGGTTTGGATTTCAACATATCTTTTGGGAGATAGGGACACACTTGCACACATAAGATCAACTTAAGCAAAAAGGAAATTTTGTGGGAAAATATGAGGTGACTTATTTAATTGAAGGAAGAGCTAAAGAATGAGGACCCAAAGGGGCAAGAGCATGACTGCCCAAAGATCCAAGGAGCAGGAGCTACTCTCAGCCCCACCAGGAAGCTGTTGTGGGAATAGAGGAACCTTCTCTGACTTTGCCATTTTTGCATCAGCCTGCATGACACTCAGAGTCCCAGGAAAATGTCTGATTGGGTCACTCCCCGGCTGGAAAAGTCAGTCCCATCATTTTTTTTCCCAGCTACATGACAGCAACAGAGAAGAGAATTCCCAAAGGATTTGGGATGCTATTACCAAGAAAAAGGAGGAAAAAATGGGAAATGTACAAAACCAATATCTAATCTAGGCCCTCTAGCAGGAAATAAGGAAGGGAGCAAAATTTGAAGAAAAAAGTATATTTTTATGTACTCCAAATTCATCAGCTCTATGTTAGTAAACCTCTGATGATTGTTAATACAACCATTCAAGGAAAACTTGCCACTGTGATATAATTTGCCTTTTTTAAATAAGTGATGAGTGTGGAGAGAATTCCAGCTAATCATGGTTCTTTCCGTTACTGAGTTAGCTTTAGTTAGATTTGGCTACCATGTCAGTTTTACAGGTAGAGAAAGTTAGTTCCTGAGTAATTCCCTCTCCCATTGTTTGGTCTGTTGTTCTATACTCTGGTCCAGATCAGGATACCCCACTGTCTTGCTGGCCACAGGGAGCTCCCTGGTACAATGTGGTTAACTACTCTTTGATGCCCTGTAGGGAAGGGTATAATCCCCTTGCGGTGCCTGAGGCACGCTCTTCTCATGCTTTAACACTAGGCTCTCCTTCTCATTGCACCCTCTCTCCCAACTCATCCTACCACCACCTTTTCAAAGAATATAGCCATTGTTCTATTAGTTATGCTTTGAATTAAGAAAAGAAAGGAGGAGGTTGTAAAAATTAACAAAGTGAACTGCATAAAATGAGGGATATAAGGGGGTGGCTCATCATTAAATGGTGAAAAATCTTAAAGAATAGACTTAGCCCCCAGGCCGTCTCTTTGCATTTTTTCTTTGACTCTTCCAAAGACAAATGGCTGATAGAACTACCATGGTATTTTGCCTGTTGCCAGTTCAGTGAACTTCCTGGGCATGGAAGTAGTGATCTCCATGACTGGAACAACATACAAGGAGCAGTCTGGGAGTTAAAGACCAGATCATTGAGTTTGGCAAGCTGCACCTCTCTCTGGAGATAAGAAGAAAGTTAGTACTGTAGGCAGAATCTGGGCTCAGGAAAGCGTGAGCAGAGAGTCCCATGAGAAGATCGGACCCTGATAAATGGGGATGAGATGGTCTCTACCAGTAGGTAGGAAATGATGGAGCAGGAAATATTTGGAACTTGACATTCTTGGCATCAGAGAAACAGTTAAATGGTTCAGCCCAGAAGTAGCACATGTCAATTCTGTTCATGACTCATAGGCCAAGTCACTCGGCCCCACTTAACCACAAGGAGGTCAGGAAGTGCATGTGTCCAAAAGGGGGAACTGGACATACCTAGCAAAAAGCAGTAATGACTTCCACTTGTCAAAATGCAAACTCCAGATTCCTCCCTAACAGGCTCTAATTCAGGAGATCCTTGGAATCTGCATTTTAAGTAGGTTTCCTGAGGTGAGTCTGATGCAGGGGAGAAGGGCGGAATCTTTGGACCACAATTTAAAGAACACTGACTTAGAGCATCACCTCAGTATAGGTAGGTGATCAAGAGGATGGGGACAAGTTTGAGATACTGTTCTTAGAGCTCAGATATAGGGCCAACCCTGGGTCACCTCAAGTTGTTATCAAAGAGGACTGCATACGTCTAGACACTGAGGCCCAGAGAGCTGGACAGAAGCTCTTAAAATGCCCAGGCATGAGGGTAGTGTTGGATCTGTGCCTGAGACTGAGCAGACCCTCAGGTATATGTTGAGCTTCTCAGATATTGGGAGAGGAAGAGGGATATGGGACCAATGCCGGTTCTCATATGTATGATCTAAAGTTTATATTTATAATAGTAGAAACTCTTTGACCAATATAACATTTTATTGTACCATTGCTTTTTTCTTTCCTCTGTTCTTTTCCCACTTCTCTCTCCTTCTCCTTCCCTTCCTCTACTACCCACTCACCCCATTTCCCCCCATTATTTTCTCTTCCTTCCTTGTTTTTTTTCTCTACCTCCCCCTCTAATTTTCCTCTTTCTCAATATCTCCTCTGCTTATCGCCCTTCTCCTCCATCCTTCTCCCCTCTTCTCTCTCATCAATTATGCTCCCTCCTTCTCCCTCTCATCCATCCTTTCCCTTGGCACCCCCCCATCCCCTCTCCAGGTATTATGCCATCTGCTGCCAGCCTTTGGTCTATAGGAACAAGATGACCCCTCTGCACATCGCATTAATGCTGGGAGGCTGCTGGCTCATCCCCTTGTTTATCTCTTTTCTCCCTATAATGCAAGGCTGGAATAACGTTGGCATAATTGATTTGGTAAGTACTCGTGCAGACCCCACTGGTTTACTGTCTGACTAACTTTGTTTGCTTGGGATTCTAAATAAACAATGTCAGGTTAGGTGGATATTCTAAGAAAGATGCTGATAGCGGTCTGAGTAACAACAATAACAAACAAAAAAAGCAGGCTAACATTTTCAAAAGCTTACTGCATGCCAGAAAGTACACAACGTACATGTAATCCTGACAGCATCCCTTTGGGAAAATTACAATACTTTTCCCCCATTTCACAGATGAGAAAACTCAGGGTCAAAAAAGTGAAGTAACATGCCCAGTGTCACACAGCTATTGAATAGCAAAACAGGTGTTCAAAGCTTAGCAGACAAACTCCAGAGCCTGAGGGAAGTGATGTGCCCCAAGAGGCCTTCATCTCATTTCATGCTGAGATCCTATGAAGCTTACAGTGACCCACAGAAAACCTGTCAAGGAGGTGGGGGCTTCTGGAGAATGTTTGGGCCAGAAGTCGAGAGAACTGGACCCTGAGCTCAGCTCCGTCCCTGACCCACTTCCTGAAAGTCTGTGATGAGAAAATTCATGGGTCCTCAGTGGGAACAGTGTCTTCCAGTGGTGCAGGAGAACAGCACGTGGCACAGGTGCCAGGCATCTGCCAAGCCCTGTCTAGATGCTCATGAAGAGTTTCCAGCTCTGACATACTATGTTTTTAATATCAAACTTGTAATGAAGATCGAAAGCTATGGTCTGGATCCATTAGCAGGTATATATATTCCCTAAGGAAGTTGTCAGGCAATCACTTTAAAATGGATCCCAGGACCGTGTTGTGGTAGGGAGGGGAATGGGGAGGAGAGATTGAGAGTGAGCTCTGGCCCAAGAGGACCAGTCAGAGTAGGAGCTGCCCCTTCCTCTCTCCATCCCATTCCTAGCCCCTAATCTTGCCTTATTCTTTGTCCAGGAAAGGATATCCAAACCAAGGCTGGGCCAGGATTTGCATGTGGTATGTTAGAACGAGAGTTCCTTGGGCTTCTGAAAGAAATGCTGGGCACAGAGGAGTGGAGAAGTGAAAGGGGATCCGTACAAGGGAGACTGTATGGATATTTTCTTAAATCCTGTCCCTCTTCTTTCAAACTTCCATTTTTATCATTCCTGGGGGAAATGAGATTCAAATTTCCAATAACCAATAGAATAATAATTATAATGGCCAACAAATGTTGAACACTTACTGTGTGCCTAGCCCCATGTTAATTTAATCATTAATATCTCGCTCAGGCCTCACAATAATGGTATATGTAAATCCTGTCATTGTCCTCAGGAAACTGAGGGTCAGAGAGGCTAAGTCACATTGGTAGGGAGTGGTGGTGACTATATCTAAGCCCAGACTTACTGGACTCCAGAGTCTGTGTTCTTATGTTTGTGCTAAACTTAATCCCTAATGGAGAAGCCTTTGGAAGCATAATCTTCTGTGCATTAAAACTTGTAACAAGGGTACAGCACTCTTACCTTCTGACGTAGAACTTTCAAGGAGAATAACCTAGGGAATTTTGTTCATTTGTGAGAGTGAGATAGAAGCATCCCCTGTTTACTTCATGTAACTGAATGGGGTATCTGCTTACTGTTAACGTGCCTAGTATTTGCTCCATGGTATTATGATTGCATTTCATATCTTTTTACTCATTTGCACATTGAATCTGCCTAGAGAGAAACTAGCATAACCCAGATGTTCATAACACATGTACAGTTGATCCTTGTTATTCATGATTATTAGGGTCTATAAAGTTGCTGCAAATACTGAATTAGCAAATCATGAATTTTTGTTCCTAGGTGAAATATAGAGTTAGATTCCTGTGACTTAAGGCAAGTAATACTTAGATAAAAAGAGATTTTGTAATGATTAAAAATGTCAGTTCAATAGGAGGATATACTATAACCTTACAATATATCAATACTATAGGACAAGATACTAAATGTGTACACAATGAATGAAATAGTGTGTTATGTATCAAAATAGATATGATACATATCTCTGTTCATGTGTATCTTCACACTGCATGCATGCTGACCTCAGGAAGGGAAGAGTCATTGGGTTACACAGCTCTCTTCAGCCAAGGACTATTTCTAGAGAAGGCTGGTAACTAAGAGCTGTCAGCAGGCAGAGTTTATAGGTGGAAAAAAAAGTCTCAATTCTTAAGAGGGATCTAGTATGTCACAGTATCCAATACAAATGAGGTTTATGCCAGGAATTTAACACAATCAATGTAATTCACTGTATGAATAAAAGAAAGAAGGGAAAACCCACATGATCATCTCATTACTGCCAAAAATGCATTGACAAAATTCAATATACAATCATTTTTTTATGATGATGAATGTGTAAGTATACACAGAAATTTTGTTTATTCTTTTTTTTTTAACATCTTTATTGGAGTATACTTGCTTTACAATGGTGTGTTAGTTTCTGCTTTATACCGAAGTGAATCAGCTATACATATACATATATCCCCATATCTCCTCCCTCTTGCATCTCCCTCCCACCCTCCCTATCCCACCCCTCTAGGTGGTCACAAAGCACTGAGCTGATCTCCCTGTGCTATGAGGCTGCTTCCCACTAGCTATCTATTTTACATTTGGTAGTATATATAAGTTCATCAAACTAAGAATAGAAGGGAACTTTCTCAAATAGAGCGCATTGACAAAAAACTTACAGCAAGTGTCATACTTAATAGTAAAATATTGAAAGCTCCTCTCCTGAAACCAGGACTGTAACAATGGTGTCCACTATTACCCCTTTTATTCAGTATTGTACTGTTGATCTTATCAAGTTCAATATGCAAGGAAAATGGTATTAAGACTGGAAAGGAAGAAGTGAAATTGTCATTATTTGCAGATCACATGAGTATTCATGGAAAAAATTCAGAAGAATCTAAAGATGAAATATTAGTTACTAATTTAACAAAGTTCCTGGATACATAGCCAATATATAAAAAATTTTCACTGAGTTCTGTGTATTAGCAACAGACAACTACAAATAAGAATTTTAATGTAGCACTATTTGCAATGGAATAAAAATAGAAATACTTAGGATTAATCTAATAAAAGATGTGTAAGATGTTTACACAAAAATGTAAAATATTACTGAAATTCTAGAAGACTTAGGTAAAGGGAAAGAATTATCATGTTTGTGAATTGGAAGACTTAACATTGAAAAACTATTATTTTTCCTCAGTCATTCTATTCTAACTCCAATCAAAATTCTAAAAGATTTTTATGGAAATTGATAAGCTGATTCTAAATTTTATATGGGAAATACTGAGATATAAGAATACCCAAAGCAGCCAAAAGTATATTCCTTTTCTGCTGTCATGGTTCTATGTGCTGTAGGCTTATTAGAAGAAAAAGAAAAGCTTTGCTGATAAACCTTCTTTTTTATTTCCTTTCCCTTCACCTTTTTCTTTTATTCATCTCTCCCTTTCCTTCACTATTCTTCTCCCCTTCTTTCTACCTTCCAAACCCTCCTTTTCTCTTCTTTTTTATCCTTTTCCTTTTCTTACAATTTTTCTCATTCCCCTCCTGCTTCTTCCTGTTCACTTTTTCCTTCCCTTTCTCCCTTCCTTCCTCATTTCCTCTCTCTCTCTAACTCTCAGATAGAAAACAGGAAGTTCAACAAGAACTCTAACTCTACGTACTGCATCTTCATGGTCAACAAGCCCTATGCCATCACCTGCTCTGTGGTGGCATTCTACATCCCGTTTCTCCTCATGGTGCTGGCCTATTATCGCATCTATGTCACAGCTAAGGGGCATGCCCACCAGATCCAGATGTTACAACGGGCAGGAGCCCCCTCAGAGGGCAGGCCCCAGCCAGCAGACCAACATAGCACTCATCGCATGAGGACAGAGACCAAAGCAGCCAAGACCCTGTGCATCATCATGGGTTGCTTCTGCCTCTGCTGGGCTCCATTCTTTGTCACCAATATTGTGGATCCATTCGTAGACTACACTGTCCCTGGGCAGGTGTGGACCGCTTTCCTCTGGCTTGGCTACATCAATTCTGGTTTGAACCCCTTTCTCTACGCCTTCTTGAATAAGTCTTTTAGACACGCCTTCCTCATCATCCTCTGCTGTGACAATGAACGCTACCGAAGACCTTCCGTTCTGGGCCAGACTGTCCCCTGTTCAACCACAACCATTAATGGATCCACACATGTGCTAAGGTGAGTGCTTCAGGACTTGTTAGATTTTGCTCATTTGCAGGACTCAGAAGAGGTAACTTTCCAGTTTTCTGTTTCCAGATAGATTATTCTTGAAAACTTGTGCAGTACTTTCAAAGGTTAAAAAAAAAAAATTCTACCATCCATTAAGGGAATAGAGTAAAGGCTCAGGGTAAGGGCTCAGGCACTGGGGGTGAATGACCTACATTCAAATCCAGCCTCCATAGTTCTTTGATTTGGGGAAGTCATTTAACCATTCTGAACCTTAAATTCATTAAAAAAAATGAAAATCATAATCACGATTTCTACATCACAGGCTTTTTTGAGGGTCAAATTAGCTAATATATGTAGAGCACATAGTACAGAGTCTGACACATAGTAAGAACTTAGTAAATATTACCTACTCCTACTTATAGGTAGTATTTTAGTGTAGTGATTAAAAGCATGGTAAAATAGTCTTTATTTTGACTCTCAGTGCCACCGCTAATCATTTGTATAATCCCTTTTGATTTTTATTTTCTTCAACTGTAAAAAATGGTAATAATAATGATACCCATCTTATAGGGCTTTTATGACAGGGATAATGTATTCATATAGAGCCTGATACATAGTAAGTGCTCATAATACTACTAATGTGAATAGTAGCATATAACCTGATACCCTAAGACGACCATAAAATAACATGATAAACTAAACTAAAATAAATAGAATGATAAATATGCAATAGTAATGTTATGTGATATATGATATATTGGAAGTATGGACAATGTAGAGTGGGGATATGAGTAGGAAAGAAGCTGACTTGGTTAAGGGAATCAGGGAAAACGTCACAGAACAGCATTTTATAAGAATTTGAGACTTGGAGGAGATGTCAAGGAAGGCATTCCAGACAGAGAACAGCATGAGGAAGGAAATGGAATATGAAGGAGTGTGGAAATGTCAGGTGGTTTACCCAAGGTCACATAGGTTGACGGAGGTGGGAGTAACTTTGAAGTTCAGTGACTAGGCATGATGCCTCTTTCCAAACTGAGAATTTTCTTGCTACCCTGGCTTAGAGTTGTTCTCAGCTGTGTAAAGCTACGTGTGATAAATACATTCATCCTGTAGCAAAGATGAATTGTCAACGACGGTTTTTTCCTTTGCCCTGAGATGCACGGGAATTTCCAAAGAGCAGTTCCTTCTTTGAGACAAGCATTTAATTTCTCTGATGATGACAATATTTAGCTGTTCTGGCAGCTGAAAACTGGGGACTTTTCATCTGCATGCGTAAGAAAAGAAGAAAAAAATAGGAATTGCTATGAAATATCAACGCTTTGCCTCAGAGACTGCTCAGAAGCATGAATTCAATTTTCTGCTACCAGTGTGGGCAGCCTTGTAGCTAAAGCCTAGTATGATGTTGAGATTCCAGCTGGTGGAAAGGCCTCAAAGGATACTCCTATAGGCTGTCATTCTTTCTTAATTATTGTGCCTTCGTCAGTGTCATAGAAAGGATCCAACAGTAAAGTGTATGTACAAGAACTTCTGTGTGGGTGCCAGCGAGTTTTTAGCTATTTAAGCTTAGCAGTTGCCCGAGTACAGGCTGCCGACTACTTACAGAGTATGCTCCAGCAGTGCATTTACTAAGTCAGTTGTTTAGAACTGGTACCTTTTCCCGTAGAAACAGTCATAGAAAGAATTTAGGGTTTCTAGGGCATCCCAAGAAACCTATTTTACTAATACTATATTATTTTATCCCTGCTGCTTTTGGAAATCTGCAGCATGATCGTTAAGCAGAGATGGCAGTTATGGCAGAGATGGCTTATGTGTATATTCTTCACACTTTATTCCTTACATTTATTTCTTCCTGAGGTCATGAGAAGTACAGAAAGTTGGTCTGAGGTGTTTTTCTGTGGGGGTGAGGAATCTTATAAGAGTGGGGGTGGCCTATACATAGAAAACTATTTGAAACTTGAATCCACTAGAGTGTAAGCCTTGCAAGGACAGGAATCCTGCCTGTTTTATTTCCTGCTACATAACAAATAACCCCATATGTTTCTTCATGGGTAAATTAACAAACCATAAAATTAATTCTCCAGATCAACTGTTTTAACTTAACACAATCTAAGGAAGATGTGTGTTTTTCTTAAAAGTCCCACAAGTAGGACATCAACAAATTCACATGAGTTCATGAAATATAAAACCAAAACAATGAAAAGTAAAATCAGCTTTTATCCTGCTAATCCTACCCCTAGCCTCAGAGACAAGAATTACCACTAGTCTGGTAATCTTTTCAGTGCATTTACAAACATTCATAAAAACATACAAATTCATAGATTTTTCTCCCTTCATTTTACATAAATAGAGCCGTTCTGTGTGTATTTTTCTGCACCTTGCTTTTTATCCATTAACAATATATTTCAGAGATCATTCCACATCAGAACATATAAATCTAACTCATTCTATTTAACTGTTCCATAATCTTCTGTACTAAAAATACATATTAAATTTTATTTAATTATTTCCCATTAGTAGATATGTAGGTGTCTCCAATCTTTTGCTGTTACAAACTGTACTATTTTTAATGCCCTGGAACACATTTCTTTGTGCATATGCCATTATTTCTCTCAGATAACTACCAAAAGTGAAATTGCACTATTGACATGTATGTGCATTTAAAAATGTTATGCTTACCATGAAATTGACCTCCCAGAGCACCATAGTGCTTTGCATTTTCATCAGCAGGGTGTGAGAGTATCTGCTACTCCTTCCCCTCACCAACACTGGATACTAAGCATCTTTTATTAATATACTAATTTAAAATATGCTCTTTCGTTTAATTTGCATTTCCCAGATGACTTGATAGATTGAACCTCTTTTAAATTAGTTATTGACTGCACCTTCATATGTTTGGTACTTTATCTGACAACTTTGTTCTGTTTTTCTGATTAATTTCTGGATGCTCTTTATTATATTCCAAATATTAATCCTTTGTTATATAATTTTCAAATACATGCTCCCATCTTCTGCTTGGTTTTGAACTTTGGTTAACTTTTGTCTTATAGAAGTTTCAGATTTTGAAAAAACTATTCTTATTTGACCTCTTACAGTTGACTCACTTCCTTCTTGAAAAATTTTCCACATTAATTTTCCTAAACACCATACTTGTCTGGTTTTCCTCCTAACTCACTAGCAACTCTTTCTTAGAATCCTTAACAGGTTCTTCCTTCTCTATCTGGCCTCTCAATGTTGGAGTTCTTCAGGGCTTGCTTCCTGATACTCTCCTCAAACTACATTCTCACTTGGTGTGATTTAACCATCCATAGCTTTAAATACAATTGTCATGCTGTCAGCCCTCTCTTTAATTAATATCTCCAGGTCATAGCTGCCCTCTAAACTCCAGATCACAAGATCCAATTTGCTTCCTTGACAACCCCAGTTATGTGCTTCTTTGGAATATCAAATTTCATGCATCCAAAACAGAATCCTCCTATATCTCGTACCCCAACTGCAAATTTCCTGAGTCTTCCCTATCTCCATAAGTAGAGCTATCATCTACCGTGTTACTAAATCCAGACCCTTTTTTTTGTAGTTCTGATAGGAAACTAACATGTTATAAGGCAGACTTAAAGATTTTAGAAAGGAGAACCAATCAGCCAGTATTGGAAATATGGAGTTAAATTGAAATAAATGTAAAATTCAACCATAGGAGCAAAATATAAATCACAGGAATGTAAGATGATGCCTGAACAAGTTTATAGCTGCATATATAAAATTTGGAACTTGATAAGTGTGCCTTCAATTTCCTCATCCAAGGCATCTGTTGACAAAGTACTGGGCAGGCCACCAGAGACCTCCTTCCATATTAATGATAATGATTATGATTCCTAACATAATTCCAGAAAAGACTGTGCCAGTTACTGTATTTAAGAACTCTGAATGCATCATTGCATTTAATTTTTACAACACTCAAAGAATTTGATATTATAATTATCGTCATTTTAAAGATGAGAAAACCAAGGTTTAGAGAGGGTAAGTAACTGGCCCAAACTCACACAAGTAGTAAATGATGAAGCTGGAATTCAGACGTAGGTCTTTCTGATTCCAGAGTTCAGTTTTGTCCAGCCCACTTAGAGTTAGGAATAGGGTTACCACTTCTCATGTTTATCTTGACTCTTTGGATAAATTTGGTGAAATATTTATCAAAAGGTCAACTCTACCGTCCTGCTTATATTTCTCTATCTTGTCTGCAAACCGTGAAGATTAGTAACTTGTTCAAATCCAGGCATTTTTCAGTCTCTTTTCTAAAAAGGAACTAAGGTTAGATCAGATGGCCCTATTCTTAGTAATCTCAGATTGAGTCCTGTCCCTGGGTACACGTTGACTATTCAAAGAAATAATCAATTTAATACAAGCTCACCTCAGGGTAGAGACTAAACTCTACTATAGAAATCACCCTTTTCACATTTTTTCAATTGGATCATTTGTTCTTTTCTTCTACTTCTGAATGGCAGTGGCCTGGCATTTGTGCTGCTTTTGATTATAGAGTTCCTTATTTGACTCCTATAAGGCCAATTATTCCTTGAGGGTAGAAACTATGGCTTTCTTTTCTCCATGTACCATATAGCCCCTCACACAGTATCTGCAAAATAGTATATAGTCAAATGATCAGTACATTTTTACTGATGAAATATCTTCATGATTATCTTCAGGTTTATGAAGGATTCACATGCTCAAAATTGAAAATTATCTGTTTTTTCTTTTTTTAATCTTCCCTGAGGCTCTAAAAAGTATAGAGGACTTAGTCTACAACCCAAGACTCACATTGAGGAAAGCCAGTTCATGGCAGCACTATGAGACTATGAACTTTTTTCTCTTAAAATCTTTTTGAGAGAATGGAATTGTACTTTTCCAGGTTGAATTAAAAATGAGCTAGTCTGGCCTCAGTGGTTTAGAATAGTAAGTTTCCCATGCTTGGCCCTATCCTCATAGCCCTTTGACTTACATGACATTTTATTATTAAACAA